CTACTGACTGTGGACAAATGGCAAACCTATAAATTCTGATGTGGAAAACTGAGAGCCTTGCTGCTCAGTGTGTCTTCAGCCCTGGATGTTGGAAGCTGAATGCACATTTTGATAAACAGTTTCCCGAAGAACTCGGTAGGGAGAGGTGCTTAAATATTTTCTAGATTTAATCTCCAAACTCCAGGTTTGTATGAATAATGGAGATGTAATTGTTTTTAAATATAGCATTCTTGATTTGGGAGATAATTTAGACTATTACGTATTGGCTGATGATTTACCACTAATCACACAAAATAACACAATGATCAAGAGATACTTGCAGTAATTCTAGATGTAATTTTTTTTCCCCTTCCCCCCACCTTTTTTTTTTTTTTGGGGGGGGGGTTTATTTATTTATTTATTTTTCCAGATTGTCTCCTTGAACTGCAGATTGGTTATTAAGTAAGAAAAATACAAAAGGCTAGATTATACCTCAAGTTTTCTTTGGTTGAGAATAATTGTCAGAGGTTTAATCGCAACGTCTCAGGCTCTGGGATGTGTTATTTAGTCAATACATTTAAGTAAAAGTGTATGATAACTGTGGCCAACTCACTGTCAGCAAAACTGAGACTCATGTTCCTTCTAGATTTCTTCCATACTCCAGTTCTCATACTGAGGAGAAGCTAATTGCTCAGCACTTTATTGGCATTCGAGATATCAGCCAGACTGAGGGAATAAAGGAGATTTTATTTTACCTTTTAAATTTCTTGCACTGCAAAATGGATTAAAAAGTCTTTGAGGATCTAGCTTCTGATTCAAACATGTTAGTAAACTTTTTTAAGATAGTGTACTCTTCATAAAGGTCAATGAAACTGAATATCCTTTGCAAATACATGTTTCAAAAATCATAGTGGAAAAATGTTTAGATGCAGTTTTTAGATATTAAAAGTAATGGAGAAAACATTTTTTTTTCTGTAACGAGTCTGCATTTTAACACTATTTAAACATTGATTTATGTCAACTTCCTACACTAAAGCTTGTTTTGCTGAGGAGCAGCTATTTAAATAATTTAGAATTAAAATGTATTGTTTTGAAATATTGGCAAGGAGATTTTACTGAATAAGTCATGCACATATTACATTCAGATGCTATCCTCTAAGGCAAAACTATGTTAATAGAACATCTGTTGGAAATTTTTTTTTATATATCATTTACATCCATGGTCAGTAGCTGCCAGATGAATAATTGTAGAGACAAGGTGTTTTTTTTCACTAAGTCATCTCAGCTTGATAAGTCATTCTCATTATGATGTGATACATGTTTAAAAGACAGTAATTTGTTACGAGCTCCAGGCTGAGACAAAGCAAATTTACAGGACGGACAAGGCTGTGCCAATAGAGTGAATCTACTTCTAGACATTGCAGCTACATTCCTTACAGATTGTCTTTTTTCTTCTTCCTCTGTTTCCCTCTGTAGAGGTCCTTCTGTAGCGCCATGGTAGAGGAGCTAAGGATGTCTCTGAAGTGTCAGCGTCGATTAAAACACAAGCCACAGGCCCCTGTTATTGTGAAAACAGAAGAAGTTATCAACATGCACACGTTTAACGACAGAAGGTTGCCGGGTAAAGAAACCATGGCCTAGAGCTGGGAAGCCAAATACCCCAAGCACAAACTGTCGTCTTTTTTCCAATCAACCTTGCGAGAATGTTTCCTGTGGAAATATGCAACCTGTGCAAAATAAAATGAGTTACCTCATGCCGCTGTGTCTATGAACTAGAGACTCTGTGATCTCAGCAGTTGCAATGGCCAGACTCGAATCACAAGCATCATGGATCAACCAAGTTATGCGGGGTTACACTGTTCGTCATGGGTTTCCACCATTCTGAATGAATGTTCCATGTGAGTGTTGTGGCTGGTTTCAAATGCAGTCTCAGTGAGAAGTTACAGGTTCCTTTTGAAGTTCAACAGTTGCCAGGAGATGGAAAACAAACGCCCAAGATGATACTAACCACGGAAGGAGTCTAGGAAAAGTAATGTCTCAGAACTGTAGCGGAACGAGAAACCGTATGCTCTTCTGAACTTCTAAGCATAGAAGAGCTGGTAACTGCTGGTAGACTGAAACTACCATCTGGACAGGCGATATGAGCTTCCTGGAAGGGAGAAATGTTAAAGTGAAGACGCATGACTCCCAATAATAGAAGGATAAATATAAGGTTGCTTACCTGCTTTTGGACTATCTGTGTCACCGAACTAAGTAAATAAATAATAATTTTTTAAAAAATCTGTAACTTAAATTTACCTGGGCTGGAACTTAGATCTAAAAATCCAAGAAAATAAATCCATAATTTGACCCAATTTTTAAATGAATGAAAGTTTTCTTAGAACAAAAGAATGTATCTTAAATAATTTAGAGAAAAGCAATTGCAGTTTCTTTTTTTTATTGGGAAAAGAAGGAAGGGGGGTGGGAAGCAGTGTGTTTCACACCTAGAGGGTTTGCATTTTAGCCTGAATGGGTTTTGAAACCCTTGTTCCTGCTACTAATTGAATTCAAGGGAGCCTGTGCAATTCTCACTAATATTGGGAGTGGGATGGGTCACTTGAAAGAAGTGAATGTAGAGAGCTTTGAGGAGGACTGCATTTTTCAATACAGTCAGAGTAAAATGAACAAAATTCTTGAGCAGTTTTTTTTTTTTTTTTCAAAAAAAAGAAAATGTTCAGGTTTATTTGTGGAAATGCAAGATTTCTATGAAAATAGTTTTTGTATGGAAATTTTTGTAATACTTTTTATCAACAAAATAAGAACATGTGTTTCTGTCAGGGGTGTGATGCCAAGCATGAATGGTAGTGCGTGTGCACCACCAACGTTTGGTGAAAACTATTTTTATCAAGAAAAAGGAATCTTAGAAGAGACATATTTTCAAGTTAGATAATATAAAAACTAGGTGCACTACCACCACTGCTTGCCATACTACACCTCTGGTTTCCACTAGGCTGATAACATGCTGTCATGAACAATTGTGTGTAAATGGTAAAAGACACAGACCTCTTGACCACATTGTGATAACAGTTCAAGTGCACTCAATTTGCTGTTTGAATCCACATATGTACAGTACTTTGTGTCAGTACTGGTACTTTGCCTCAGCTTATTGTCCTATCTTGCTGACTCCTGCCCTGAATTTGTGGCCAGAGAACTTGCTGGGATTTCTGAGAGAAGCTAATACAGCAGGTTGTAAGAAGTTTTTTTTGCAGGATCTGGCTCTTACCTGTTTCAAAGCTAATAAATATGAACTGCCTGTGGTGAGTTCCTGGACATAACATTTTGAAACACTGCCCTAGAGATGCTGAATCTTGCAACTCCAGCTACTGTAAATCTATTTGTATCCTGACAAAAAAAAAAAAAAGTATAGAATGGGCTATGTAGGAATGTTATGTCAATGAAACAAAATTATTATGAAGATGGTCTTTATATGTAAAATAATTAATTTGACTAATTAAAAAAACCTTTAATATTATCATATATAATCAGTCATTGGTAAGTAATGATCAAATTTGTTTACTGGGGCTTAATTTAATCTTATCACCATCTTTCTATCACAGGAGTGTAAAATGTATCGTTCAAATTGTACAAATTATATCATGAAATTTGGGAAAGGGGGAGGTTTGTGTCTACTACCCAGTTCTCATCAATCTTCATAGAGGCTGAGCTGGCCATTTTCATTGTGAACAGGGACTGAGAAAGCAAATTCTCTTATATTTGTGAAAGTTTCATCCCCATTTATATGATAGCAAAGAACAGGTTATCTTTGTCTGAAGTACAAAGAAGATAAAAACATCTTTAGGAAAGATTCTGAAAATGAGTATACTTGCATAATACATATTTAACTTTAAGTTAATTCTTTAAAATACATAGGGGAAGAAAGTAACAGTCATAGAACACGATGAAAAATCTTAATGATGATGGTTTGGAATGGAAAAAAAATTGGCTATTGCATTTGATTGATGATTTACAATAAAATTTGTAAAATCGTGTAATAAAATGCTGCATTATATTAAAATAAAACTTTCTTTTCTCCATTAAGGGTGTTGAAATAAGCAGGTTTCCATTGTCACCTTGATGCACACGACTAATTCTCATTAAGCTTTATGTGAGACAAAGAGAGAGTGAATGCAGAGTAGGTCCCAGATATTTTACCTTTGGGGTCAAAGTCCCCAAGGAACAAAAGTCCTAACACAGAAGTAGTGTGGCTTAATTAAGATTTCAGTGAGAATTTTAGCCTTCCATTAATAAGGGAAATATGCAAAGTAACTGGAGATATGTATTTAAGATAAAGACATGCATGACTCCACAGATTCATAGTAGAAAGATGCCTTTTTATAAAAAAAACATACACTAGTTCATGCTGCTACTTCCTTGTGCATTAGTAAATATTCATGTGCTTTTCAAAGAAAAATTAAGATATTTAAGGAAAAATTGCTAATAAAGAATTGACCCCCAAAGTATTAGAAAATACTACTGGTAATTTTATACTTCAAAAAGCTCAGTGGTTCCTCTTTGATGTTGTGAAGGAAATCCTCAACTCTAAAGAAAAGGTTCTAATTATGAAAAGCCTCTCATAATGTCAATAAAATCTATGGAACTACACCAGCTAATATAAAAATATCAAGTGAGTATCTATTTGGCCCATGAAAATGCAGAATCTGTACATAACTGCTCTATGTGGCTTCATATAATAGCTCAATTAGTCTGTTGATTTCCTAGTACAGGACGATGGGTGCTTCACTGACTGACCTTGAATGTCATTCTAGAAAAGATTTTTAAAGCAGTTATGGCTCAATTATATGGTGCTATCTGGTGGATGACAATTGGAAGTAAAAGCTGAACAGGATTCTTTTTTTTTTTTTTTTTTTTCTGTAGATTACTATGTGGATATCACAGAATAAATGACAAAAAGGCCCTTTAGCTTTTTGATAAATATCATTTATGAAGGACTGAGCCAAATAGTTGGATGAAATAAAGAGGTATGTGGTGCTTTATAGTAAACAAGGTTTGGGGTGATTATAGACATCAGCAGGCCATTTCACAGTGTTCTTCTATTACACAAACACAAATCCAAAATATCCAGGGAGTATCTGGCAGGTTTTGTATGAAATATTACTTTCTGAAGTTTCTATCTCAACTTTCAGTTGAAAAATTCAGTTTAGGTTTGAAAGAATCTTTTATTTTTTGTTTATATTACTTGATGCTCTGTGCAATAATCCCTCCTGGTTTCATCAACAGAGTCTTCAAAAAAACCCAATATAATACTGTTAAGCCCTGCTGCACTAAATAGTTAATATTTCAGAATGGAAAAATCTAAATTTGTGAAAAAAAATAGTCCTACCAAAGTCCAAAGCCACAAATAGAAGAACTACCCTGATATTCTACAAAGCTAAATATTTTTGGGGAAAGGGTGTAATGAGCAGAGATAGTGGCATTCAGAGAGGTGAAGGACAATGTTATAAAAGAGTTTTTGTATAATTATTATATGAAGAATACTGGAAAAATATTTATAGTACTTTAGACACAACTACAGAGTCTCCCAATACATTGAAGTCTCCAAATACACCAAAAATCACAAAACATGATGATTAAAATGCTACTTTGAAAGCACTTTCAAAACTCCTACTTCAGAGAAATCAAGATACATTACATCCCAAAAGTCTACTGATAAAATAGTGGAGACCACAGTCAATTTGTACTGACACTATATTAACAGCAAAGTAAGATACAAGTCTGTATTTAAGCAGTTGTGCTTTTTGTCATATTTTCAAAAAAGTGTAGGGA